GAAAATTTTTTTTTTTTTTCTTTTTAAATTTATTGCCCTCTATTATGCAGTAGCGAAACTACCACATCAAAATATCTGATTTGGAGACAGGCTTTTAAAGCCTGTCTCCTTTTGCTTCCTACAATTTTATACATGTAACGAGGCTTCTGTTGCGTAGCTAGATATTCTGTGCTAATATTCATATTTGTCCATGAGGTTATGTTTTATGTTCATCAGCGTTGTTACAAGGGCAAAAATTTTTGTACTATAAATGGTGTCGAAACTTTTTTAAGTGGGATTGTACATTTTTGGTGCAAAAATGTGGGGTCATGTGATCTCTATTTATTTGCCAAGTTTTGGTACGTAGGGTCCATCCACACTATCCTAAAAACAGCGGAACGGCTTATTGGCTTAACGACCTTGAGTCGATTTCCTGCAATTCTATTGGCTGAAATTTTGACAGATGAATTTGACAGATGAAATTTCTGACAGATGAATTTTTCAGTCAATAGAATTGCTGGAAATCGATAAGGTCGTTACGCCGATACACCGTCGCCGATCCGCTTTTTTTGGGATAATGTGGATGCACCCTCTCAGAATTATACACCATATGCTAACCTCCTTTCACGCAGTTGAGCAGCTCTAGGAACTGTTCAAGAACGCGATACTCTCACTCCATTCAATTGTCATAAAGTTCAGAACTGCCTCCATAAGCTCTGGAACTTGAAATTCGCAAATGGAGGACAGCAATACAGAAGCTACAAAGAGCTTTGAATAGCATTGGTTAAATGGGTGATTAACTAATTGCGTGACGTCACGTTTGACATCGGGACACAATAGATCTCTAAGGTCGCAGTGATTAGCCCCCCTCCTACTCACCGCATGGATATCAAACTTACGTTTGACATCCGTGCGGCTTGAACAGCATTTCAAGTAATGTATAATTCTGTGCCTCTGCTCCTAGCAACCTGCATTTCAAATCCACGCATCGCGTATCACCGTTCGTCTAAAAATATGTACGTGGGTTTAAGTTTGGGTTAGTTTGGGTTTGGGAAGTAAGAATTGTACATTTTTTCTTGCAATTGTACCTATGTACTCCTTGACTATCAAATGTACCCAAAATAGTACAATTGTACCTATTGTAACAACACTGATGTTCATTTGTAATTCGGTTACCACAGATATAATATAAAATACTACTAATTTTTATCTCGATATATCGAAAAAGATAATTCGAATTGATTCGAATTAGTTAGTTTTAATTTACTATCGAATTAGTCGTATTATTTAATTCGAATTTTCCCAACACTAGTCCTATTAGGTTACTGTTAATAAAAAATACCTAGTAGATAACAACAAATTATGAATAAGCAATTAAAATTCCAACACCTAGAATCAAAATTATGTCTTATGATATGGATTTCATCAATCTGTTATGCTATTTACCAGTATACTACTAAATCCCATTTGTGTAAGATGTTTTCCATAATGTACATTTGTGTTCCTGTCTTATATTTATCTTTTTTTTTCAGTTTTTTTGAATTATGCAGACCCTTACAACGATTTTGAGGTAGGATGGAACATTTTAAATAATAAAAGGAAAGACAAATCTGATTTTGAATGGGAATCTATAGGTTTCATAATTTGTAATGTATATCCCTTTCTTCTGATTTATATTTTTACCTCTGAGTTTCTGCGTAGTCAGAACTTTAGTGCTAAGGTATACAAGTCTGTTTTTCCTGTTTCTGTTTAAGTATATTTTGTTTTTAGAATTTCCAGTATTTTCAAGTTCTATTCACTTGTGCATCTACAATTTATTTGTTAGGGTACAAAATACTAGTAATAATATTTATTCAACTAATTTTATTTAGTATAGTTTTTCTATGGAAAAATAAAGCTTTAACTTGGCTCTGTAGTTTAACATGTTTGACACTTATAACTTTTTATAAAAACCTGAATTCTACTGAGACTTTTTTAAAATTTTTTGCTCTCAACCATTATGAAGCTTACCTAAATATTTTAGTTTTGTGTTGGTTGAATTTAAAATGTACTAGTTTTTCTGTTTCTTGTGAGGTCAATATGACATTCTTGGACTATATTTCATATTGTTTTTACTTTCCGACATTTATTACTGGGCCTTTTATTTCATACAATGATTTTAAAATGATTTATAAAATGAAGGAATATGGTAGTTTAGATGTGAGACTGAGGCAGTTTTTAAAGAATACATTTCGATGGGTCTTATGGTATCAGTTTGGAAATATTTGTTTACATTTTATTTACATTAATGCCACAAGTTTTCAAAGTGATGTAAGTATGAGTTTTTGCTATAAACAATAAATTAATATTATTTAGGTAGTGATATTGTTTCTAGTTTGTAAGGAACCTTGATTTATGGAGTCTTTGTGGGTATGGTTATATATTAGGACAATTTTTCCATATAAAATATGTTGTTTTATATGGTCTAAGTACTAGTTTGGCATCATTTGAAAATATAAATGTACCTTCTTTACCAAGATGTATAGGTAGAATCCACCTATATTCAGATATGTGGAAGTACTTTGATCCTGGACTTTATAATTTTCTGAAATCGTAAGTTTTAGTCATTTTAACTAATAGACCTAAAATACTTTAAAATATTTTTAGGTGCATCTTTATACCATTGCAGAATCTTATAAAATATAAATTTATATCATCATTTGTATGTTTTGCTTTTGTATATTTCTGGCATGGTACAGAACAGTATGTTCTTATATGGGCTACCTTAAATTATGTTGGAGTTTCTTTAGAAGCTTTATTTTATAGTTTTTATAAAAAGTGGATTAGAAATGTTAGTATTTTTGAAAAGATAGACTCAAGAAATTCCAGGAGATTAAAGAATATCCTAGCAGCACCTCTTTTAGCTCTATCTGCCATTTCAAACTTTTATTTTTTTGCTGGTAAAGATATTGGCAATATCTTTGTTGGTACTGCATTAGGCAGTAAGTTTTTCCATTGAATAAAAAGACTATAAAGGTGTTTTGTTGTATGAATATGAACATTTAGTCTTTGACTCCTTGCTTAGTCATTTTATTCTATGGTTTTTTCAATTACTGTTTCTTTTTATTAGCATAGTTTATTGTTTCAGGTAGTATATTTAGCCAGATAGTATTACTGATGATACTATATTGCTGCTGTGAAATTTCAACTGAATTTAGAGACACAAATGCACACACAATGTAAAAAACTAAACAAAAAATAATCAAAATATAAGATATATTTTTATATAATAAAACAGACTTACAATAAATAGTTTCAATATATATGATGATTTTTACCTTGGTATGGAACTAGAGTTTCTTGTACAATAAGCTTTTTGCCTGTGTAGCATTTTTTTTCCTGTTTAGTTCTAGTCTTTTCAAGGCTTCTCTTTTATTTTTTTCTATCACATCTTGCTGTCGTTTGGCTTCGAGTTTGGCCAATGCTTGCAGTCTTTTCTTTTCAATTTCTTCAGGAGAACATTTTATTGGAGCTAAAAATCATACACAAACAAGTCAAATAAAATTTCTACATTTTTCAATTTTAATTTAAAAAATGACCAATGAAAAAAAAAACTTTTGTTCAAAGCTACAACCCCTTAATAACTAATTTAAGATATTGATTGCTATGGTATATGTATAATAACCCTTTTCCAGACGCCAAAGTGTGAAAATCGCCAATAATGAGTTAAAATATATAGGGTGGTCCGATCTGTATTCCAGAAACTTTATATACCTATAAATACAAATAATATATATTATAAAATATAATATCTTAATATATATATTAAAATTAAGTAGAAAATTGGTATAAATGTATGTCCTAAAATGTGCTTCGTTTTGGAGATACAGGGTGTAGAAGTTTCATTTTCATTTTGATTTTTTCCAAATAATTTATGGTAATTGTTGCATATACGGTTTTCAGCTATTTTTGGATTATATAAGGAAATTTTTATATACTCACATTCTACTGTCCTTAGAGATTGTTAATATGCTGGGGAGAAGATAAATTGTGCTTCTTTAAGTATTTTTTCTACCAAAAAAACTTACGGGACCGGGGAGCGAATAGGGGTGCTGGGCGAGGTAAAAACAATATTCTGATTAAAGATACTCATAACACAACCATTTTACAATCCTTTAATTAAGTTTTAATGTAAAATTTCTTCAAAAAAACTATGAAGAACTGTTTTATTCAGAACCATTGGCAGGTTACATTTGCCGTCCTCGGAGGAAGGGAGCCGCCCGTGAAAGGAGGACAGCCATTGGCATTCACTTTAATTTTCTGCACTGGTGGAGTAACTGGTGTGTTTACTGAATGCGCCCAATGACTCCTACTTGTAGAGGGCGCCACCTACATATTTTTAACTGGTTTGAATTGTAATAACTTTTCGTCCGTACCTGTATAAAATAATGAGTAAAAAATATACATTTACGAAGTTTTCTACGTAAAAAAGGTCTCTTGGTAAAAATCGCTATAAGTAATGATTAGGTTGTGTCGAGAAATTTGATTTTTATTTTGTTTATAATTATCAATACCTGTCATTATTGACATAAATTAAACATGTTGACTCTTGTTGACTAAATAATTAGACTGAAATCATAATCACAAAACATCCCCCTTTAGAACTTTTTCTTTAATGGCCATAAGTGGGAGTAAAAGACCTACCGCCCGAACAAACACTAGAAGCGCCACCAGTCATCAAATGGTGTAAAAATTGCGAAAATTTAATCATCTAATTTTGACACAAGGGGTCGCGCTTAACTTTTTTAATTTTATTTCAATATTCATTGTTTTTAAACTATATTATTTGACTTTGTTGTATTTTGTGAGTGTATAAATGCTTTCTTAGTATAAAGTTGCATTATATTAATTTAAATTATATTACATACACATATTTAAAATTCAAATATTATGACATATATGTCAGTTGCCGTCTAAAATGTCATCTTGATAACAAAAAGTTAGTTATTGTCAGAAATAGTTAAACTCATGTTAAAATATTAAAATTTACAAGTTATAATTAGATATTTTATATTATTTCAAAAATAAAAACATAATGGTACAGCGTAATGTTGATAGGCAGGTCCAAAACAAAAAGTGCCGTTATATTTTTTAGTTTTCGTTGTCAGCCGCGGAAGTTTCAGTGATTTTAGTGTTGTCGGATATTTTTATTTGTGAAATAGAAATATTGCGTTTGGATTGCAAAACGAAAAGTGGAAGTTTTATTACAATGTAAGTAAGCGTTTGTCCATTTTATATTTTACTTTTTTCATACCTACGACAAATATACATATATTGAAATTTAACAATTCGTTTTATATAAAAAAATTTCGAAAACAAGCCTGTAATCCTGTAATTGACGTAATTGTAATGTAATATATTCCATTTAAGTGCAATATATTACTTTACAATTAAAAAAAATTTAATTTAAAAAATATATTAAAAATATATACAGGCATTAATTGAAATTTTTAGAGTGCGACCAAATACGAGAGGCGCTTTATTATTTACTTTCATTTCTTAACATGACAGATGAAGTTCTAAAGGGGGATGTTTTGTGATCATAATTGAAATGTTGTTGTGTCAAAAGTCCAACAGAAACTGTTGATAATAATCAAAAAATGATGATAAACATTTTTTCACAGAAAAATTTATGATTAATTTAAAAATATAAAAATTTACTAAATTTATCAATTCAGTCAAGTAACTATCAACGTGTTTATTTTTTGTCAATAATGACATGTATTGACTATTTTCATTCTAAAGCTTCGTTCTATGTGGGAGACCAAAGCGCGCCATTCGGGCGGTGCGAGCCACGCGTATTTATCAAATGTTTTCTTACGAAGCTGTCCTAGGTAGGAGATGCGCACGATGTCGCGCGACTGAAGCGGCATTGCAGGCGATTGAAATATGTCGCGCGAGTCGAGCTCATCACCCTATGTTGTCGCACGCGTCGCCCGCTCGCTTTTGTCGCCCATGTAGGACGAAGCGTAAGTATGTTGAGAAAGGTTGCTCGTAGCGATTTTTACCAAGAGACATTTTTAGTCTAAAATCTAAAAGTCACGGAAATGTATATTTTTTCACTCCATAGTTTTGTACAGATATCGACAAAAAGTTATTACTCTTCAAATCTGTTAGAACTTAGAACACATGTAGGTGGCGCCCCCTACAAATAGGAATCATATTGACATCAAAATCAAATTTCTCATGTTAAAGAACTCCTAGACAACAATTTTCATCCAAATATTAACGTTACCTCAGAAATTATTTGGAAAAAATTGAAATAATAATGAAACTTCTACACCCTATATCTCCAAAACTAAACATTTTAGGATATATATTTATAAAGAATTTTTTTACTTATTTTTATCTGTAGAATATGTTGCCGATATTTCTGGAAAACAGTTCGGACCACCCTGTATTATAACTACTACGGGTTTTACTAATCTATTGCAGATGCCATGACCATAAATTTCAATGTAACCCCCACAAATTTACTTATGTCAAGGGCTGCAAAATAGTTTGTCAAGAATGAAATAACTCGTGGTCAGCACCTGGCTGTAGTTAATTTACCATATGTTACCTCGTTCTTGGCAGTCAACGTGTTAAGAGACATGATAAACCACTTACAATCTGTAAATTCAGTTATGGGTTCGTGCTTTCTTTTTGCTTCCAATTTTGCCTTAGCTTCCAATCTTTTTCTTTCAATTTCCTTAATTGTTTCCTTTGAAATTGTTGCTAAAAATATTTCAGATAAAATATAAAAAACAACTTTCTTTAAATTTTCCTTACCATTGTAAGTCTCAAAACTTTGTGTTCTATGCCATTCAACTTTTCCTGTTTGGCTAGAAGTATTCTCTGAATTTGATCTAGGAAATGTAATTTGTTTTTTCTCAAAATTCTTAATATCCACTATTTGAGTTAGTTCATCAAAATCACTACCGGCTTGACACAGAATGTCTTCAAGGGTATTATTTAAGGTATCTGTTATATTAGGACAAACAGGCTTGCTTTTAGAACTCTCCACACTGTTTTCTTTATCACATTTTACAGGATTTGCTTGAAGAAGATCACTCTCTATTCTTTGACTGCACAAAATAAGCTGATCTTCCAAGCCATCGTTAAAAATTGCATCATCAGAGTCATATTTTGAGGGTCTCTTAGGAGATTCTTCAAGCATATTCACAAAAACACTCACATCATCTATAAAACCATGTACATCTTCACTTTTAAAAGCAGCTTCCTCTCTAGGGGACAGCATAAGACTTTCTTCATGGTCAGGTTGAGCAATTTCATCTTTAAGGGCTCGCAATTCTTCCCTTATTTTATCAAAATCATGCTTTATTTGCTCACTGCTCGCAGATAAGTGCCTTCTCAAAGGTGCTTTAGGTGGCTGAAGATCCAACCTCTTTTTAGACTTACGTTTAAATGGAACTTTTGGTTTCGCCTGGGGAGAATTCCAGTCCCACAACACGTCCACATCTTCATTTACCTCTTGTGTAGAACAAGGGAAGTAAGGACTCTCTTCCTCGTCCGATATGTTCCTACGTATCGGTGTACTATCGTTTGTTTGATCTGATAATTTGGTGTTTTTTGAGGTAGAAGCTTCATCAGAAAACATATCTAAAAAACGGCTGTGTAAGGTACGAGTTTTATAGTAATATAAAAAGAGACCTGAAGAGCTGAGACTTCTAGCGTGTTTCTTCGTATTTTTGCCATTTCCTTTAATATATTCCATGAAACTCAATTTAAAAACCACTTATTAATATAAAAAATCTGGGCATTTTTTAGGTTAGGGATTGACCCAGTGCCCAGTGTTCCCAACTCTCAAAAATTTATCTCCCTAAAAATCTAAAACGCTCGCATCAAAAATCCCCAAAATATCCCTAAAAACCCTCTATGCTAAAAACCTAAAAAAATATCCCGAAAAAAGGTAAAGGTGTGGATCCGGTGGTTGACCTTGAAGCCTATATTTGCTGCATTTGATCATCGATACTACGCAAGCGCACATCGTCGATGTTGCCAAATTGCAGTTTATTTTCGAATTATTTTTACTTAATTATCTTGATATCAAAAATTAAGGTAAGAAGGATAATGAAGATTGTGAAATGAAATTATTATGAATATATAAAATTGTAATAATAATAACATTTATTTATATATTTACATTAGAATTAAAAATTATCATTTAGGGATTTTTTCTTAATAGTTTTAAACTTATTAGAATTATTTTATTTCTTTCAAGTTATTTAATTTCTAGTTATTTACAGGCAAAATAGTTTTGATTATATGTATTGATGCATTGAAGTACTACCATGACGAGTCTTATAGAACAATACACGTCAATGGGAGATAGAGGTAACATTTTACCTATAATGTTACTAATATAATATACCTACCGTATGATCGAGAAAAAACGGCGTCAGCGATGGACGGCGTCAGCGATGGCTATGGAATGAAGATCGCTGTCATTTTATATGTAAATTTATACGGGAAATGTCATCGATGTTCATTTCCCAGCCAACTGGACGCCGTTTTTTTCGATCATACGGTACTTTGATTATAATGTTTGTATTATAATTTCTTGAAAATATCAAGTTAGTGGATTAATAGCAATTTTAGACATATATTTTATCGAAGAATGTGTTGATAAGACTAAAATAAGCTTTATGTTTTATCTTTTTCTCTTACGTTACAGTATTTAATATCGTGTACTTTGATATTCTTTTCTTAATTTACTGTAATTTCTGGTTTCCTATAATGCCAAATCTTGACAATATGGTGAAGGTTGAGTTTTGATCTTTATACAAGACCAAATTAAGACTTAGTTAGTTTGTGATTTATATTAAGATCTTTCTTATAATATTTGTTATGTCTTAATCTTAATACTATATTATGCTTTGTCTGGAAAATAAATGTTAAAATATCTTAATTTTGCATATCCTATTCCATCCTTCCATTAGGAAAAATATAGTTTATAAATCATATATGCTAAGAAAATCACATAAATTAGTTGTAAGAATAGAGAAATCGTAAGGTAGCAGAAAAATTAATGCAATATATGTATAAGCAGAATTAAACAAGGTAACTGTTAATGTTGCTGAAGCTGACTCTACAATTTTAATTACGGAGGCTAAAGGCCTTTTAAGGCCTCCGTAGTTTTGATGGAATGTTAAAAAAATCTATTATGAACATGACATGGAGCTACAGCATTTAAAAATTTAAAAAAAAGAAAAAACTTGGACATATCCCTTTTAATTTCCCGAATTCTTCATAAAGCACTTTTTAAACGTAGCATAATAATCTAGAGCAATTAGATTAATTATAGAAATCTAGAGTTTTATTATTTATATTTAATTTTATTGACAATGAAAATACATAATAAGCGTTCACGTGTTGTGCGAAATATTAAAATAATAATATAAATAATATACCGCGTACTATGATTGAAAAAAAATAGCGTCAGCGATGACTATGAAATGAAGATAGCTGTCATTTTATATGGGAAATGTCATCAATCGTCATTTCCCAGCCAACTGGACGCCGTTATTTTGATCATACGGTACATATTGACAAAAAAAACACTGAAAAGCACATATTTGTTTTCTACTGAAAATAATTCCAAAATAACTTGCAATCTGGCAGCATTGAAGATGTGCGCATGCGTAGAGTCTGTGACTATATGCAGCAAAAACTCGTTTCAAGGTCAGCCACCGGATCCACACCATTACCCGAAAAAAAACTAAAAATATAAATAATAATAAATAAACAATTTGTTGTGTTTTAAGTGGTTGACCTTGAAACGTCTGATCACACATAGACAAACAGAAAAATTAAAAGACTGCCAGAAGACATACGACGCGCAGGCAAATGTTCCTGTAGCGCATCGGCGCAAGTGCGGAAATACGTCCATCTAGCTATCTGTGTTTCGACACTAGTCCGTTAGTCTTAGCATATTCAGAAAGAACACGCTAACCTCCAGCGTTGCCAATTTGTGGGGAATTCCCCAAATTTTGGGGAATCCGGAGCCGATTGGGAATTTTGTTGGGATTAGCAATAGGCGGCGAAAATAAGAGGAGTTTCAACATTTTACTGCTGATTGAAAATGGCGTAAAATTTTTAGCTTTAAAAACGGAGCGGGACGATATATCTTTCCCAACTTAGAAATTATAATCTGCTTTTTACTTGTGCTTCCCTTTGCAAATGCTTCAGTTGAAAGAAAATTTAATGACCTCAAATTATTTAATGACTATTAGGGAAGGGATTAAAAAACAAGGAGGTAATTTACAGTTTAATCCCTCTAACATATATAATAAATATTGTATTTTTATTAAAATTATTTTTTTTGTTAAAATAATCATATGGGGAATTTTTGGTGAATCGGGACATTTTTCTCCCCAAATTGGAGAATTTAGTTTAGATTTTTGGGTAGTTTAGAAAATTGACATTGGCAACGCCGCTAACCTCATTCTTTTGTTTGTTGTTTGTTCAAAAACCGGGACGCGGCGTAGTACAAGGCTTCATTTTTTAAGATATTTTTGATTGTTAATTTTATTTTTGTGCAAACTAAACAGTTGTTTTTTATTAATAAATAGCAGACAAAGATAAGAAAGGTAATGTCCATGCAGAAGTTTTTATTTCACAGGCTATTCTTTCTAGAAATTATACCATCCAGCCCTCCTATTTAATTATTAAATGAAAGTGTGAAAGAGATATCAAGGGCTATTCTGTTAAAATATCATCCGACCAGTCTAGGCCCTGTTGTGAACCAGAAGGTGTGCTAAGTTGGATGTTGGATATAGAATGGAAGGAATATCATGGCCGAGAACAAGGCATAATTGTATGCCCCTTGATGTAGGGGGGTAGGTTTGTTTCTAATAGGCAGTAAAACCAAAAATTCTACTGTGAATCTTCATATTCTAGGCCTGTAAAGATAAATAATTCCTGGAGCCATCTCGAGGTATAGTACTCAAGTCGGATCGAATCAATAGATAGCACAATGAAAAGAAATAATAGCCATCATAAAACTGTAAATATGTATATAACTAGTACAATGTAGCTATTTAACTGTAAGTACAATGTAGCTAGATATTTAGTAGAATAGGGGTATTATAAATTAATACAAAATACAATAATTGGTCACTCTTTCCATTCCCATTCAATTCTTCCCATTTAATCATTTTCCCATAAAAAAAGGAAAATTAAAATTAAGAGTGCCCTTAACCAAAAATAGTGAAATAAATGGAGATAGTCAAATTTTATATTAGCGTGTAAGACTTTGAATAAAAAGGTGTAAAAGGATTATAAATGCTGTATTTATATCCTTTAATATCATGATAATATAAAATTTGAGTAGGTATCTCCATTTATTTCACTGTTTTTGTTTAAGGGCACTCTTAGTTTTAATTGCCTTAAAAATAATAAGTATAATAATAATTTAAATCTCCCGCTCTTTCATAGTTCGTTCCTGTAGCCAAGTAGAGGGCGCCAAAAGCGCAATCTCCTAACATTTTACCACGCGATTCACCACTCTCTAAGCTATTAACTTTCTCTATGTGCCAGTATATCAAGTGTGAATCAAGAGTCATCAGAGTTAAGTCAAATACGTTTAAATTTTTTATTTGAACGTATTTGAGCAGTATTTGAGTTAAGTTAAGTAAATACTTACTCTGATATCATGATACAAAGAAAACAGTATAATATTATGATTGTGATTATGATAGTATGTTATCTGAAATTCCTGTTGATTTACTTAAGCCCTTAAGCAAATACTAAAACAGTATTTTTTGCCACCAAAACAAAATGTGTTAAACTGACGTTATTTGTAAAGGATTCTGCGAGGGAAAGCTACTGACATTGGGCTTATCGTTAATACATGTTATTACGATATAATTCAAAAGAAAAAGTATTCTTAAAAACTACGCATTTCCTTAGGTGTTCTAGGTTAAATTCACGTTAAATTTAAATGGCATCAAAAGTTCTTTACAAGGTTTTCGTGTACGGTACTTTAAAAAAAGGCGAACCCAATCACCATTGGTTCTCCAAATCAACTGATGGGTACCACAAATTCCTCTACAATGCACAAACAAAAGAAAAATACCCTTTAATCATAGGAACTCGTTACAATGTTCCATTTATACTGCACAGCCCAGGTTGGTATTGACAATGTTTGATTATTTTCTAATAAAACATTTTTCAAGGTAATGGACACAATGCAAGAGGAGAAGTATACGAAGTTGACAATAAGGTTTTAAGCGACTTAGATATACTGGAAGATCACCCAAATTACTACATTAGAGAAGAATATGAGGTTGAGAATATAGATACAAAGAGTCGAAAAACAGAAAAAGTTTGGATATACATGATAAAGGCTTTTAGGAAAGAGCTATTAAATCAAACTTTTTATGAAAATTACAGTAATTTCGGCGAGCATGGGCTAAAGTACGTTCCAAGGTATTTGAGAGAGAAAAATTATAATCATAGAACAGAAATTCTTACAGAGGAAAAATAATTTTTTTTTTGGTTTTAATTCTAGTGAAGTAGAGGTATCTTCTTTGGACGATCTTCAATAATATCATCGCTAAATTTATGAGAGTTTTTAAAAAATTAAACACTTATTTTTATTAATTAGGCTTTTATTTATTATTATTAGCCACAATATAAATTGCTACATCACCGTATACATGTGTATACATTTAAAAATTACTTCTTTTGACTTCTAGAAAATCTAGAGTGGTCATATTCTTGGTGATTTGGATTTAGCTGGTTTGAGTGATTGTCTAAATTGGATTGAGTGTGCTGTGGATTAGGTTGGTAGCTACTACCCCTAAAATCAAATTATAGTATTACAATAAGCTTTAATAGATGTAAATACTGAAGAAAAAAGTACAAAATAAGAAATTTATAATTATTAAAATTAAGGTGAATCGATAGCAAAATAACATTGTTAAACGGCGTCGGCGATGGCTCTGAAATGAAGATCGCTGTAATTTTATGTTAATACTATTTTTTATTTTATTTTTAGATTCTGCGTAAAATTTTATAACTGTTTATGTATAATGTTATATACCTAAAATTAATAGTTTTTGTAATATTTCAATTTGTTTAAACAAATGTTCGTGTCGTAAAAAATTGTCTGTCATGCTATTGGAGTACTAAAATTTGTTAGAATATATAATTTTATAGGGTGTGACGAAGAAAAAAATGCATGTAAAGATATTTGACTTAGACGTTACAGGGTGTTCAACATATATTTATTATGAATTTCGAGTATTTAAAATTAAATAATCTCAAATTTTTTAAATGGTACACCGTGTGTATTATCATTTTTCCTGATATAATATACAAATTTTGTGTCACTGATAATTTTTACTGTACCGAAATCGTAACATATCTTTAAACAAATTAAATTATTACAAAATCTATTAATTTTAGATATATAATATCATATGCAAAAAAGTAAGTTACCAAATTGTACGTAGAATCCAATAATAAAATAAAAAATAGGTTATTCCCATTAAAAATATATGTTAAATCTGCAACACTTTTTTGAAGTAAAATGTGCTTCTACAACCTTCCTTATAACTTTTCTATTTAACATTTTGTTCTAAAAACCGTTAAAAATGGATTTTGTAAAAGACGTCGTGTCTCAAAACAAATGAAGGGTAAAAAAGGAAAAACAAAGTATGTATCTGTAGAATATACCGTATGATCGAAAAAAACGGCGTCGAGTTGGCCTGGAAATGACGATCGATGACATTTCCCATATAATTTTACGATCTTCATTTCATAGCCATCGTTGACGCCGTTTTTATTCGATCATACGGTACTTGAAATCAGTAAACCCTCGATTTAGACCTCCATTTAGACCAGCTTTTTGGTAGTCTTTAGTCATTTAGACAGACAGGTAAAACCAGGTAAAACTAGAATTAATCCGTAGTTTTCTACGCAGTCCGCATGCAAAGACAATTCTAAATCTTTGTATTGGACCAATCTGTAGATCTCTTATAAAACAATTTAAAAATTTATACCAAAATATTTCTTCTAAGAAAGTCAGTAAAAATAAAGAATATTCTAAATGTTTTGCAAAGGCCATTTATTTAGTTATATACCTATTTTTTGAAAATATGTCACCCCATGATCTAGGTCTATATAAAGCTAAAATTAAAAATTTAAAACAGTAGCACTGGGTAGATATTTGAATCATATAGTGTATAATCGGGAACCATTTATGAACCATATATGAATTTATGATACCTATAAAAAATATTAAGACAAAAATCTTACCAATCACTGGGCCGTTCGGACATTCCTCTGGAAGAATAAAAAGATGAATTATTAGGATTCAGTTGATTAGCGTGGTTATCTAAATTTTTTTGAGACATTTTGAGACTGCTAAACACTACAAAAGCGTATGGAAAAGCAACTGCTGGTTGTGAAGTTAAACTCGGTGGTGGATTACTATGGTGAAATATACGAAGCTCTGTACGAAGGGTACCAAGTGCACAGCACAAGTGCAGAAATTTTCATCAGATCGATATTTATAAGCAAAACACAGGGGGGATTACCGTATTTCAGATTTCAGCATTCAATTTTCCTCGAACAGTGTTGCCAGTTGCCACTCCAAATCTGGGCACAGCCAAACGATTTTTACCAGTGATATGGATGGGCATGGATTCGAGATCTCACAATTTATCGTCAGATCTCACGATTTTGTATCAAATCTCACGATATCAGGATACGTGCGCAGGATCTCACGATTTTTTACGTTTTAAGGGTTTTACCCAGAGATATAGACGTTTTACCAATTAAAAAATACTGTTTTCAGAAATATTAAAATATTCGAATTATCTAAAATGCGAAGTCATGAGAGACAGTCATGAGAAAGATTCATGAGCTTATTAAATGTTCTAATGTTAAATCACGGCACGTTAAATAATGCATGTTATAATTTGCTTTTCACGTTTACCGTTAAAAAAATCATTTAAAAATGCTTTAACACTTTTTATTTAACTTTAATAAAATACAAAATTATTATATAAACTACCCTTGTCTATATGTCTATATCCATAATCAAGGGAACTACGATACGACACGTTTGAAGACTGAGTAAAAAATATAAACAACAATACATAATGTTTGTTTTTCAAGTTCCTTTAGAACGAACTTAACGTTTAACTTTCGAGTAAACAATGAATAACAATAAAGAGCAAATAAAGTCATTTGAAGGTTAAATACTGATATAACATGCATATAAAACATTCTTGGATTTGCCGTTAATACATGTTCGTGTACTTTATACGTGATTACGCCATAGGTCGTTACTTCCATGTCTTTCAAATTCGCGATGCCTGCTATTCCGCTATTCCATTAGTCGCTTCGTTAGTCGTTTCCAGAAATATGGAAATGGTTTGGTTTGGTATCTATTCCATATCTCTGGTCGTTTCATCACAGTGATTCCCCGGTGTCAGTGCTACATCTACATACCGGGGAATCACCGAGGTCTCTATTCTTATTATTTATTAAAATGTTCTGATTTCTGATTCACTTTAGGTTTTTAACTCTTGTTCATTTTCTATTCAAATTTAGGTAATTTTTACCTTTTAAGTTAAATTGAAAGTTTTATATAGAAATAAAGAAAATAAAATTGTCCAAATTCATAGATTCTTTTTATTATTCTATTATTTAAACTTATATTTATGTTTTATTATATTAAAAATCAAATATACATATGTACAGTATGTCCCCGGATTGTCTTTACAAGAGGAAAATCTTTTCTATTGTTGACAACATAGAATAGCTAACTGAAGTTGACATTTTGAGAAAAATGCATTCTTCATACAAATTTCTTAGAGAAAATTACCGTTTTAGAGAAAATTACAAAATACATAAAAATAAGCTTGAATTTTGAAGTCCTAAAAATCAAAAGGCGTTTCTATGGGAATACAATTTCAATTAAGTCAAATTAAAATAAACCGAGTTATTTTACTTTTGACTTAAACTGGACGCCGTTTTTTTTTCGATCATACGGTATAATTATTATATTATAATTACAAGTAGATGTTTTTCGATCAGCGATGTCTATGAAAGGAAAATCGCTCTAATTTCATATGTAAAATTATATGGGGACTATCATCGATCGTCATTTCCAAGCCAAATGGACGCCGTTTTTTTTTTCGATCATAAGATATTTTTATTATTGACCTTCAAGTTTCAAGAACAATATCCGCTTTATTCAATGTAAATCGTCATGTATTATGACAAATAAAATTTACGATAAACGATAATATAAGTGGGTGAATACCCTAAATCCTGTAAAATTTTGCTTTGCCTAGTAGCATTGTTGCCACATAAGTATCGAGAGTACTATTTTATACAAAACAAATACTCTTGGCATTGATAAATCAGATGAGTACACCACTTGTACGTCCAATTTTTAAAATCCAATTGATAATTTTGGGTGCATTTTTTTTACTGTTGATGAACTGCAAGTTCTGCACTTTCTACTTCGAGTGCAGAGAGTGCCTCACGTAGTCATTCTCAATGCGAGTTCTGTTGTCATCCACTATTGGCAGTAGTGAGCTGGTATCTACTGAACTACTATAATTTTTTCACAAGTAAGTTGATTAAGTTGCGTTTGGGTAGCGGTCTCTAACGATTTGAAATAGATAAGACGTCAGTAGTAATACAATATTTGTGTAAAAAGTCTATTAAAAAATGCGGGATTTGCAACAATAATGACAATAAAAAGCAAATATATGTGGATAAGACGGATTTTGCTGCAGTAACGCAGTAACATAATTTGTAGTGAATTTTATGTAGGAATAGGGGACTTTTCCAGCTCTGTCACGTTGGAACCCGCTTTATAGTAAACTTTTCGATTTTTGGCGTATTATCAACTACAAACGATGCAATTGATTGTAGTAAATTCAATTTTTTTGTAGTACTAATAATTAGCCAGAAAAAGTAAACAATTGTGCGCAATGTAATAAAGAATAAAAATATTGTTTTAACAAATGTCTAAAAATCTTCAAAATCGTTTGTAGTTTTATGTAGTAGCAAAAAAACTCAACGAAAGTTTCTTGAAATTAGAGAATTATAGTAAAATTTGGAAATTAACATAGTTTGACATAATGTTTTTAGTTGTATACAAACTACAAACGATGCAATTGATTGTAGTAAGTTCAATTTTTTTGTAGTACTAATAATTAGCCAGAAAAAGTAAACAATTGTGCGCAATGTAATAAAGAATAAAAATATTGTTTTAACAAATGTCTAAAAATCTTCAAAATCGTTTGTAGTTTTATGTAGTAGCAAAAAAATTCAATGAAAGTTTCTTGAAATTAGAGAATTATAGTAAAATTTGGAAATTAACATAGTTTGACATAATGTTTTTAGTTGTATACAAACTACAAACGATGCAATTGATTGTAGTAAGTTCAATTTTTTTGTAGTACTAATAATTAGCCACAAAAAGTAAACAATTGTGCGCAATGTAATAAAGAATAAAAATATTGTTTTAACAAATGTCTAAAAATCTTCAAAATCGTTTGTAGTTTTATGTAGTAGCAAAAAAACTCAACGAAAGTTTCTTGAAATTAGAGAATTATAGTAAAATTTGGAAATTAACATAGTTTGACATAATGTTTTTAGTTGTATACAAACTACAAACGATTTTGAAGATTTTTAGACATTTGTTAAAACAATATTGTTGCGATTTACAAATATTTGAAAACAAAAAAGGCATTTCTATTTTTATTTTTACTAATATAATTTATTTGCACGCCCGGTAAAGGTCGGCAGAATGCATTGTCGGCAATTCGGCATTTTCACAAACAGCGGGAGTTCAAAGAAAGCCGTGTGATGATACCGCATAGCGACGAGCCGTCGACGTCGTGCAGTATCAGTGTTGCCAGATGTAACATAATTATCGAATTGTAACATAATTTTGGAACAAAATTTTCCCAAAAAAAATCTGTACCATAATCGATAATTATTGTAACATAATTTGGTAACCTGCCATTATTAATTTTTTATCCATCATGAACTATATTTTTATGATAAATAAATTAACTTTAAGGTAGTTTATGCAAAATGACTCAAATGGTTTTAAAGTTTAAAAGAATGGCAGGGTCTAGAGCACTAAATATTCGCGACGAATCAAGTAATTCCGATTTTAAAATACGGGCAAAAGAGAAACCAGACCTCGATATCATAAAACTGATTGAGAAAATACGTTTGAAACCTATTAAAAATAAGTTAAACCAACAAAAAATAGGATCCAAATTTATTGCTATCATTATATTTATTAGATAATTCCCTCAGAACGAATATATGGCTTGTAACATAATGTTGCGGGCCGGTGTGGTCTCGACCTAACCTCACAATATGGCCCGCCCTCGGATGACCTTAACATCGCATAGACACCGCAATGATTCATTCGTTCGAGAAGAATCGAGTCCCACTGGAATGGACGAGTACATACGAGAACATTCGAAAACCTTCTCTACGCACCTAACGATCTATGGACAATTCTAGAGTTCTTTACCTGCCGGTATAAAAAAACGGCGGCCGTGACCCTGAGGGGCAGTTATAAATATACAGTTGACGCGCTAAAATTCAAAATAAATTCTTAGTTATAAATCGTTTGTAAATAGTTCTATAAGTCTTTTATCGTTATTGTTTTTTGTTAATTAGTGTTAAATAAATAGTGTTTAAATAAATTGTGACTTTCTATCCACGGAACCGACGAAAACGTAACAATTGGTGTCAAGTGTGGCGTGTGATAGACTAGAAGAATAAAAAGACTGACCATGGCTCTGAAAAAATTGTTGAAAGACTTGAAAGTGTCGAACTGAAATGCATATTGGAAGAGAGAGAGTGCGAGACAGATGGAAAGAAAAAGCATTTTGCAAGCTAGACTGAGAGACGTTTGGTGGAGGAAGGTGAGGATCCTGACACATTTTACTTCGAGCTGGAAGGTGACCTTGCCTCGTCATTGAAAAATTTACAAGACAATTTAAACGACAACTTGAACAATTTGAATAGTAAAATGATTAACTTGGAAGAGAATTTGAATGATAAAATGACAGAGAATTCTCAAAATTAGACGACAACTTGAACAATTTGAATAGTAAAATAATTGACTTGGAAGTTAATTTAGAAGAAAATCAGTGATAAAATTAATATTTTGGAAGATAAGATCGCAGAAAATTCTAAAGACATACAGGCCAGCTTTAATAATAAAAATACTTAATTTAGAAGAAAAGATAACAGAAAATTCCAGGGAATTAGAAGAAAAGATTATAGAGAATTCTACGGAGCTACAAGACAAAATAACACAAATTGAGGACGATGTAAATAAAAAATCGAAATTTTAAAACAAAAGAAATAGAAAAAGGCCAAATTCACCAAAATGTCAAAGAAACGTCCGGAGGCACCGAAACTAGTCGAAAATAAGTATATCTCAAAGTCAGTTATTAAGCCTCCACAGTTTGACGGAAAAAAATCGCTTGGGCCAATTATTTTTGCC